TGAATCATGACCGTACATTATTTTTTTATTTAAATTGATCTTAGGGAATGAGATTTATAGAATTAAGACCTAGATTTTATTCTTTAAGGTTTAGAGTATAGTACCATGTCCCAAACTCTGATCTATTCAACGTTTAGATATTATTTTCTTACTCATGGTATGTTATACTTACTTTTGATTTTACTCAAGGTACAATAGAATCATCCATATGTGTGGGTGCCTTCTATCATATTTCAGTAAAATCAAAGGTGTAGCAAACCCTGAGTAAGAAGATGATATATGGACCTCGAGTTAACTGAATATTGGAGCATGAAATTATAACCTAATCCTTAATGAGTGAATCCTAGGTCTTAATTATCCAAATCATAGACCCTAAACACTATGATGATGCATAAAATTTGTTGGATGTATTTCGAAGAATCATGACCGTCGATTGTTGTTTCTATTTAAATTCATCTTAATATATGAGATTTATAGAATTAAGATCTAGATTTTAATTTTTAAGGGTTAGGGTATAGTACCATGTCCCAAACTTTGATTGATTCAACGTCTAGGTATAATTTTCTTACTAAGATTATGTAATACCTTTTATTTTACTCAAGGTGCTATAGAACCATCCATACCCCTATAATATATAGCATAGTTTTTCATGAGATTTTCACCATTTTTATGAATTATGACGGTCGATTCTTTTTCTATTTAAATTTATCTTAGTGTATGAGATTTATAGAACTAAGACTTAGATTTTAATCTTTAAGGTTTAGGGTATAATACAATTTCCCAAACTCCAATCAATTTAACGTTTAGATATCATTTTCCTACTCAGTGTATGTCATATTTCATATTTTTTATTTTATTCTAGGTACGATAGAACCATCAATATGTGGGTGCCTTCTATCATACCTTCGGTAAAATCAAAGGTGTAACATCACTTGAGTAAGAAGATGATATCTAAACCTTGGATTACCACATTTTGGAGCCTGTTATTATATCATAATTCTTGATGAGTGAACACTAGATCCTAATTATCTAGATCATAGACCCTAAACACTAAGATGACGCATAAAATATGTTGGATGTATTTGGAAGAATCATGATCGTTGATTATTGTTTTTATATAAAAAAATCTTAGTATGAGAGATTTATAAAATTAAGACCTAGGTTTTAATTTTTGAGGTTTATGGTATAGTACCATGTCCCACCGATCGATTCAACGTTTAGATATAATTTATTTAGACTGTGTCATACCTTTGATTTTACTCACGTTACAATAGAACCATCCATACCGCCTATAATGTATAGTAGAGTTTCATGAGATTTTCAAAATTTTGAATTCCCTGTCTTCTCCTTAATGGTAGCTAGGGTTATAGTAATAATTGACATTCTTACTTTTTTATAATGAAAAAACAATGTTAAATTTGCTGCTTATAAGATTTGAACCTTGATCAAAGTGGAGAAAGATATACTGGTCTACCTAGGTCATCGCCTACTTTAATGCTTAATTTTTTTAAAAATTTTCAATAACTTTCTATTTTGTTTTATTTTCCAACCACCGAATTAGAGTGTGTCGTTTGTCGTGTTCTCTTTCTTCTCTATTTAAATTCCTGTTATTTTTAATTGGTTCGTAAATCTTTCATTTCAATCCAAATTCACATATTTTTGTACAATAAATTAAATTTTATATAATCTACACAATAATATCAATTTTACTATATTTTAAAATATTTTTTTATCCTTCCAAAGACATGATTAGTGTCATGTCATGTTAAATTTAGGTAGATTATTGTTCCTTTTGTTTTCTATTGAGTCGGTCATATAGTGGTGAAAAGTACTTCTTGTTCTCTTATCAAGAGTATTGACATTATAGTATATATGAGACGTAACTATACTACAATGCTTACAACATCGAAATGAAATTAGTTTATATACCATTGTTGTATATTTTTATATTATCTTGGTATAGTATTGTACTATAATGACACACAATAGTGATATGAGTTTGATGACACTATTGATGGGCTTGGTTTTAAATATATTAAAGTAGATATAATTTTGTAGTTAATTATTGATCTAATCTTTTTGGACCACCTAACTGATGAAATTAATCAATTAGACTAAGATCATAGTCAAAATGTGAAACAGAGACATCGAAGATTATTTTTTTTTTTTATAAAGGGAAAGTAACATTTAGTAGATGTTGGTTTTGTTTTTCTCACGTTAATGACTAACTATCCATTAGTTATCTAAACTCTTTTTCTCTTTTATATTGTTCTATTTATATTTAATATTGGCTCTGTCAAGAGTTGTATTTTTTTATTTTTTTTAATAATAAAATATGGGTTGATTTTTCATCTAAAATTATTTTTTAAAACTATGGATTTAAATAATTTTGATATGTTACCTAGTTGTTATTTAAACTATAGAAAAAATGACTTTCTAACTCATTTTTTATTATATCATTTATAATTTTAAAATATAATTTACTTAAAAAATTAATCCATTTTATATATATGGTAAAGACTAGTATACTCCTGGGAATCTGGCCGTTACATGTACTTCGACGAGCACCAAAAAACCTAAAAGGTCAACTATTGTTTTCTAGTAAATTGAACTTCGCGTTTGGGTTTACAGAATTCAAGCCTGAGATTTATCCATTATAGGCTATTGCATGTATAGTATCATAACCAAAAATCAGTTTAATTCATGGTTTAATAGAGATATTTCACTAAGAGTACATGGGCTATGGTATACTATAGGTAGGGGTGTTCAAATGGTTACCATTATAATTACCAACTCAATTAAACCTAAATTTTATTAATCATAAAATACAATATATTAACCAAACCTACCAAATTAATACAACAACCAAATTAAAGTTCAATCAACTTGGTTAATTAGTTAATTATTTAATCAATATAACATAACATTATCACTACTCTAGAAAAATATCATATTATTATATCAATCCATAATATATATAATGAATAAAACATAATAATCAGTTAACATTGAACATACATACATGCAATCAATATAATTTTCTTACAATCATTAGAAGTAGTCACCTAAAAATAATACCAATGGTATGAGGGTAATGACTTATGTGTAAGTGTGAATTATCTTAATTCTTAATCTCTTAACAATTATTAGTGATTGAAAAAGTAACTTTCTTTCAAGTTTTCATTCAATATAATGTATGAGTTTATCTAGATTAGTAGTTCATACATTGTTTCCTATACTCTAGAAGAACAAATATAGTATAGAAATAATTATGAGTTTTATATTTTTATGGATCCAAAAGGAGCAACGCTTGACTTTTGAGTATGTTAATTATAATATATTAGATATATCGCTAATTGGTTTGATTAGTTAGTAGTGTCTGAACTAAATCAAACCACCTAAACCGAACAAGATAAAAAAAAATTAACCAAACCAAACCAAAGTATACAAATATTGTTGATTAAAATGATTACCACAGTAGCCACTCCGTTTGAATCACCATGGTAAGGAGTACGTTTACCTTACTGTACGCTCGCCCATTTTTGTTATTTAGATCTATAATTAATGGGAGTTTGAAACATGATACTATACCCTAACCTCTAATGGGTGGACCCCAGCTTCCAATTCTCTAACCCAAACCATAAAATTCATATAATCTCAAAATGAAAACCAACGGTTGTGATTCGTCAGAATTATCCAAGTACAAATAATAGGTGTGAAACAAGCGCATATCGTACGCTAGCCTAGCCACCATGCACACACACAAACAAACACACACATAGTGAGCAACTTCGATGGTTAAATTTCAATTTTGCTAAGGTCATTCCTCTTAATTTTTGGAGGATGGATCTCCACAGCGCATCCAACGGTCCACATGAAATGCCCACCTAATTAATGGCCAGGATTTGGTTAGAGGAATATATAGTGGATTGAGGGGCATAGACTTCATTAATAGTCCTAATAATCCTTTGTGTCTAGCGAAATTTAATATACACAGTTATATACATGTTGTATGTGTATATTCAAATTGAAAAAAATACGGTATGCGTGTTTCAATAATTTGTATTCAGAATGCGCAGAACACATATTAGAAAACATATTTTGTATTGAACAAAACACATATTCGTATTGAATGAAAAACATATTTAATATATGTGATATGGGTATTCGTCAGTTTCACAACTTCTATTCAAAATTAGAAAAGCACATATTAAAACATTTTTTTTTTTTTTGAAAAAACCATATTCATATTGAAAAAAACATCTTTAATATATGCTATATATATATATATATATTCATCAATTTCGCAACTTGTATTCCTTCCATTTTCACTATTTTTTCTCACTTAGTTTTCAGATCGTGGTCTTCAACTTTCACTATCCTCTTTTAATTATTGTTCAAATAATAGGCTCAAATTTACACTATCTAACTCATCTAACCAAATATGAGATAATGGCCCTTTTATGTGGACCGTTAGATGTCCACGGAAGATGCCCTCCTGCAGCTCATCTGTTGGACTTTCCGCTGGCGCACTCAGTCGTCAGTTTCTTTTCAGCTGTGAAACAAACTGACATAGGTGCCAGTTCATCTCTTTACCCACGGCTCATTTTAGAGTCAGACCTTGTTTGCTCAATCAATTTTCAACGGTCTTATGACTGAAATGAGAGGTTAGTTACCAGAAAGGAAGAGGGAATATCCTTACCATAGCTTGGAGCAGAGGAAAAGAGAGGCAAACCTTCGCTTCACAATTTTCACTCTCTGCCTGTGATTTCCCTCTTCGCGGGTAAGTTTATTCCGTGGGCTAAACTCAATCGTTCCAACTTTCCTAGAATGGAATAATTCTGCTTCTTCTTCTTCTTGCTTAAATTTTAATGCTTTTCCGGCTTTGTGGACCCCGGCTTTTGTTAATGGTGTCGAAGTGTAGATCTTCGCTGTGTTCTCCTTTCTGGGTTGGTGGGTATTTGAGATGGTACTGGCGAAGGGTTGTGGAGAGACGGATGAGTTGAAACTTATTCTGATTTGCATCTTAGTTTGTAATGGTAGAGCTGTAAGGGGTTCATCATTTCAGTGGAGATGAGATTAGATCATATGGATGTCAAGATCTCTGGAACCTAGCTACTTTGAATGAAGATGGCCGGGGAAGGTTCTGCGACAGTGCTTCACGGGAGTTGTTAGTTTCATTTTACAGGACTTTCACCAGATGGTTAATGATGGCCTGTATGATCACTGGCAGAAGTAAGAAAAGGATGTGTTGCTGGGGTGCAATATCTGAATCCTCACCAGACCCATGTTTAACATACCAAATATTTGTGGTAAATATGAAGTTGGGTGGTTGTTTGACTTGGGTATCAATCTTATGTCTGCTTGCTGTGACCAAGTCTTCCCTGCATCTAGCCTCTAGAAGTAGTTCATTTCATGCATGTAAAGTGAACTGATAAATGCTGGAGGTTTTCTTTTCCTTTCTTTTTTGATATGTGATCTTACTTGCTTACAATGACTTGAGATTCTAGGCAGACACGGCAAGAATGACACAGCATCCTGTTGAAGCCGAAACTGAGTCAACGGTTGAAGTTCATGTGCCAATTGCAACACCCTCATCTGGTGCAATAAGCTTAGAGGAGTTTGGAATTGCCATGGACACTTTAACCAAAGTGGATTTGGACTTGACTTGTTCCTCTGAAAAGTTGGGTAACTTACATATTCTCCTAATGCATCTACTGGCTTGGGATAATGATCTGGAGGTAATAGCTGCGTACAGCTACATATCAGCAACATCAATAGAGAAGGCACTGGAAATTGATCTTTTGTCTGGAATCTTAGATTCAGAGGTAAGGGAGGTGGAGAGTTTCATGGATAATATCCAAGCAGGCATTGTTGATGCACGTTATAAGATATCTGCATGCAGACACTCACCAAAAGCACCGAGTACAATAGAACAAAAGTTGGTCGAGTGTGAAGAATCATTTAAGGAAACTCAAGATAAAGTATTGGAGGTGAAGATCGAATCAACCAAGTTACAAAGAGCCTTTTTAGCTCTCAGACATGAGAACTGTACGTTACATGGATCCATTTGCAGATAAAATTCATGGAAAGTCTATAATATTGTTTCATCTGTTCACTTAATATGAGGTTTTCACTTTGACAGGGGAAGATGCCAAGGCCATTACACTGTCACTCACCGGTAATGGGAAGCAAAATTCGAAGAAGCAGACGGCAGAACATCACAGACGTGTCCTGAGGATGTTGGAGAATTCGCTTACAAGAGAGCTAGATCTCGAGAAGAAATTGTCTGAATCAAAGCAGAGTGAAGAACAGTTGAAATTAAAGCTGCATTATACTGAACAGGTTGTGTTTCGGATGGAAGAAGCAGCAGAAGTTGTTTTGGGAAGATTCTTGGAGGCAGAAAATGCTGCTGAAGTCTTGATGGGAATTTCGAAGGAACTAGTAGGCCACCTTCAGATTATTCAGTTCAACTTAAATGGTTCATTCCAGCGAGAATCTGAGTTAAGGTCAAAGCTCCAAGACTCCATCCAACAACTAGATGCTAAAGATGTTGCTTTGAAGAAGCTTGAGATCAGCCTAGCAGAACATATTGCAAAAAGTGCTGAAGTTCCGCTGATGAAAGACAAAGTGAAATCACTTGAAGAACAGGTGAAAAAATTTGAGCTAAATCTTAAGACTGCAAATACTGTACATGAAGAGGATCAAGTGCAGCTGGTTGAAATGGACAATCTAGTTGAGTCACTCAGGGAAAATATCTTTGAAGCTGAAACTAGGGCTGAGAATGCGGAGGCCAAAGTTAGCCAGTTATCAGATACAAATGTGGAACTCTCAGAAGAAATCGGTTTTCTGAAGAGTGGGAGAGATAGTGATGCAAAGAAGGTAACCTCTCTCGAGAAGCAGTTGATGGAACTTCAAATCCAGGTGCAACATTCAAAGTCATCATCTGAAACAAGTCAAGAGCAACAGAATATGTTGTACTCTGCAATTTGGGATATGGAAACGTTGATAGAAGAGCTAAAATCGAAAGTCTCCAAAGCGGAAATCAAGCTTGAGAATTCGGAGGAACAGTGCATCATCTTGTCTGAAACTAATGCCGAGCTTGACGATGAGCTAATCTTGTTAAGGTCGAGAATGCGAAGTTTGGAGACGTTGTTGGATCAAGCTAACAACTCCAAGGCTGAAAGTGCCGAAGACATCAAGTTGAGGACCAACCTTATCATGGATATGGTATTTCAGCTTGGCAGAGAAAGAGAACGGATCCAGGATCAGGTATCAATTTAACTACAACATTTAACATGGCTCTTACCTTTTGATGTGCTATATACTTCCACACCAGCCTTCATAGTGCTCATTCATCACCGTTTTGAGATAAGTAGTTATTGAGACAACAAAATGATAGGATGATTGACATTAGAACATACTTTGGGCTGAAGCAGCTTGGCACGCTAACAAGTTAATCGAACTATGGGAACGGCAGCTAGCACTTGGCATGTTCTCTTCATCCATTTAAAATGCATCATTTTGTAGCCAACTTATGATCCTGCAACCTGTTTGTCCCATGTGATGTTATGCTTTTTGCAGCTACTTTCTCTTATAAAAGAGAATGAGATATTGAAGGCGAAGCTGAGTTTGACACAAAAGTATGATTTCCCTAACTCCTGGACCAACAGACCAGGCGATGATTGGAATCCACGCTCTTCTGCCAACAATTCGTCTAAGGAGACATGTGGTAAGGCTTGTGAAGAAGCAGCGTCCTTATCCGGGACTAGTGAGGCAGGTAGATATAACATTCTCAATGCTATAACTATGATCATCTCTACCTTTGCGTCCAAATCCGAAACAATTAAGAAAAAACTTCAGCATTCCTTGTGAAAGCATCACAGAGTTGGTAATAAATAAATGTCTTAATGATTTCTAAGTCGCAGCCTCTTTTAATTTCATGTTGTTTCACGATGATCGATAAGCGAGGGGCTCACAGAAACCAGGATTGATCTGAATGTGCTCCACATTTCTGTTTTATTTGAGTTTTAATATTCCCTGCGGATTCCATAAACTCTCTGTAACAGATCGGGGAAGCATCGGAGACCAGAACTCAACATGAAACTGAAGTGAAGACTGTTCAAGCACCAGATGACAGAACCAACACGATGATGATTTCAGAAGTTGAAGGATTGATGACAGAAGATCATGTACAACAATATTTAAAAGCAATTTGGGCGGTTCTATCTGCAGCAGCGATCATATAATTGTTGCACAAGGGCTCTATCTGCACCAGCGATTATATTAGCGTGAAGTACTGACTGGTCAGGTAGTCACCGATCCATTCAAGACTCATTTTAAATGCAATAGTTCATGGTGTTTGCGGTGGAATGCGCTATCTTTTACTGTAAATTTGATAGGCTGGCATGTCTTTCATTTTTATTGTTTGTGTATGTGCTTTGGAGAACTATTGGATTTATGTGAATAGGTGTTCTGAGTATGGTAGGTTTTGTATTCAGTGCACTCTTCTTCTTTTTTTCATTTAATACATTCGCTTTATAATCGTCATTCTGAGTGGGCGATTCATGTGAAAAAGATGTTAATCATTACTTGTGGTATTATAGACAATAAAACATATACATTTGTACAAAAAAATATGTTAGAAACATAGTTTCTAACGGGTTTGCGGTTTGGATTGACATTTGGGATTTTAGGGATTTAGAGAAGAGAATTGGGAATTTAGGTATTAGAAGATAGGAATAGGGATTGGGATTGGGATTGAGAATTTGAGGAAGAAGAAGAATAGAATTGAGAATCTGTCGAAGCCTTAGAGGGCTAGAGATCAAGAAATTAGAGGATAGAGGATTAGGATTTTAGGAGATACTTTCTGAATAATTGTTCTTGTTTAATTGAGAATGAATGACAAAGTACATATTTATAGGTAATACTAAGAAGCCCTATTAATAATCTTAATTCTACTAAAAGACTATTAACCATATTAATAAAATCCTAATAATAGTAATAATATTATGGTAGAATATACAAACCTTAAGTATACTTAAGGAGTTCAGTGGGCTGTGCAATGGTGCACGGTAAGTTCCCTACAGCACCTGCGGAGAACCGTTTGATTGGGTCTATGTATCGATATCGACCATTCATTTTCCCCTTCATGGTAATCCCTCAGCAATCTATAAAGTTTGTTCCCTTTTCACCTCCAGATCTTCTCCCCCCTTCTCCCCGTTTATCTTAATCCCAATTCCTCTGATTCCCCTTCGAGGACGGGATGGCGGCTAGGCAAGTCGGAGCTCCGCCGTTTCATTGGAAGCACTCTCTCTGTGGACGATGATGAAGGTGGGTTTGTAGCTCCATCGTTTCCTTGATGATTGACGACGAAGCTCTATTCTCTTATCGATTCTACAGCAGATTTTGAAGGTTGTCGAAGGGTTGAGCCTCGATGGTCAGCGGAGTGATCACTAAGAAGAAAATCTGGTGGGCGTTCCCGTTGAAGTTTATGGAGAAAGGCATTACTTTGAGATGTCGATCATGCAAGAGGGGATTAGTTCTCTCATGGGTTTCAATATATGATTTCGTGGGGTTTGTGTAGAGGAAGGGTTGAGCACCAATCCATCCAATTGTGGTTATCGTTGCTAACAGAGCACGAAGTATAAGCCAAATGAGCATTTGCAGTCGCAGAACATGACATTGATGTTAGAGAGTGGTATAAGATCCAGCAGAACCTTCTCCCAACAACTCGAGTTATTGGGACCAACTGGTTCTTGACATGGTATCAGAGCCTAGAATCGAAAGGTCATGTGTTCGAATCTCCACGACCCCCAATATTAACTGTTGTCTTTCAAGCACATGGTATGGTGGGCCTGTGCAAACTTCAAGCTCATGGGTTGGCTTTCGTTTGAGTGGGCGTGTTAGAGAGTGGTATAAGATCCAGCAGAACCTTCTCCCAACAACTCGAGTTATTGGGACCAACTGGTTCTTGACAATTGAAAGGGGTACAGTGAAGAAAGAGGGAAAAAGAGAGGTTGATGTGGTAGGTGTTTCCTTGTGCTTGGGGCGGAAATGTGAAGGTGGAAGGGACGGTTTTAATTGTCACCAAAGTTAAGGTTAAAGCTTTGAGATTAAATGAAATCATTAAGTTTCTTCAACTTTTTTTTTAATTTTAATTTTAATTTTTTGCATATAGAACCTCTAATATGTGTTCAATTAAGTTGGTTCATAGAAGTTCAAATGCCTGCATTTTTGGTGACGGGGTTCTGCACCGTGGCGGACCTAGGATTTTTGTATAGGTATGTCAGTCAACCAAATAAAATAAAGATATTAATTAAAAATTAATAATATTAAATTAAAGATTCATTATATATTCAATTCATAAAGTTTACAATGTACAACGAATCACGACGACTTTTCATATTCTCAAATGTTTGTAATTATTTTGGAGGTCATACGACGTAGTTTTTTCCCTTTGGTTTGCGCATTACACTTGCTTTTCTTTGGAATTCTAAGTTGAACGTTTGATTATTGATGTTATATGAGTGTGTTTGAATTTTCACAATATGTTGGAATCCAAGTACGAACTGTTATTTTGGTGCAATGCTATATGTTATTATCCATATGCTAGATGAGATTTATATGACTTATAGATGTATGAACAATATAATGAATTTTTCATATATCCAAGCTAAACCGATCGAACTATTAACTCTCAACCTACTTGCTCGATAGGGATTGACAATTTCGATATTTACACATTAAAGTAACTTTATTTAAAAAATTTATCGTAGCATAATAAAAGTATCGGTGACAACTACCGAAGGTGTGTTGAAGGTCTCGAATTTAAATATTTGTACCGAACAATAACTCTACTGTTATTAGAAGATATTGATATAACAAAATTAGAAAAATTAAAGGCTGAGATGAGGCAATTTGTCATCATCATTATGTGCTTTCACTATGAATTTAAGGATTAGTAAGTAAGCTGATATTGCGTTTCACTATGTGCTTTCACTATGAATTTGACTGGGCGATGATATGGCGCTTTGACCGTTAGTCAACACGTTTGACTGTCCAAGTTAACGGTCAAACGTCGGGTTTGGCCAATTTAGTTATTTTTTATGTATAGTTTGGGCCAGAATGTTATAGATCGAAAAGATTGGTCATGATGTTTATTTTGGTCAAAGTTCAGACTATACAAATATATTAACTCAAAGAGTATAGATACAATCTGAAATTATACCGTAACGTTAAAGTTATTACAACAAACGCAAAAACCTATAGCACCAATTCTATATAGCATTGTAAAATTCCACTAAGTAGATTTGTTATTCATAAAAAAGAAAGAAAATTGTGTATTCATCCATTATAAGTTCATTGGATATATAGATGATGAAAGTTGAGAAATTTCGACAGTAATCCCTCCAGATAAAACAATTTCAATGGTACCGGCTGAACAGTAGTAGTAAGACTAAAGTTCCCTCCAACACTAATAAGCAATCACCAACTAATCAAATTTCGTTGCTAGCTAACAATATGGATTCATGAGTGTATCTATTATTTCATATGAATATGACGAGGGACTTCTTCTCATGAAGGCCGTGGACGAGGAGTTGGGCCGCCGCCGCCTCTGGGCAGGCAAATGCAAAAGCCAGTTTTGTCGTCGCAAAGAGCAAGTCCCTGATGGATCCGCTCGCAATACCAAAGGCAATCCACATCCCTTTTGCAAGCTGGTGGCGTCACTTCCGCCACAATTGACACCGCAAACCCTGTTCATAGTTTGCATTGAGATGCATATATATATATATATTTAGAGTATGAGTAACACAGTAAACTGTTGCAGAAAAACATACCAGATAGAAGCAGCAACGCAGCGAGGTAGAGAGGAAATTTGGAAGACGTAGCCATCTTCAGTTTATTCCCTGTCACAAGGGTTCTTTCTTCTTTCAACTGCTTTGTGAATGGATTGTGAATGCTGCCCGGCCATCTCTATTCTCTAGTCAATTTATATAGTTCGTGATAAGAAACATTGGTACATGAACGGAAAAGAGCAGCCATATTTGTAACTCAATTTTGATCTCGGGGGGACGCTGGTGGTTCCGGATTTCCATATTTGTAATTATATATATATATATATGGTCAGTGGCGGACCCAGGATTTTTAGAGAGGTGGTTCAATAATAAAACTAAAATATAAAAATAATTCATAAATTATAAAAATTCTCATTTTTTACAAGGAGCCACGACGGCTTTTCATATTCTGAAAGGTTTGTAAAATACATTCATCGCTTATTCTAGGGTAAATACAATTTAATATCCAAATCTTTCATTTTAAATAATATAATAGCCAAACCTTTTCGAAAACAATCTAATATCCAAATTACCAACTTTTCGTTCGTTTGACCGTTAGTTGACACTTCAAAAAAGCTTTGTTTAGGGGAAATTGTCACAATACAACTTTGTTTCTTGTTTTAGCATTGCAGATGACTGAATATTTAGATATTCTATACCATCATGGTGGAGTCATGAACTTCTCGGGTTTGGAACTACGATATGTTGGTGGTTTTTCAGAGAAGATATCAATGGATATTGATGAAGTGTCATACTTCGAACTTTTTTGAAGTGTTAACTAACGGTCAAACAGACAGAAAGTTGACGATTTGGATATTAGATTGTTTTCGAAAAGGTTTGGCTATTATATTGTTTAAAATAAAAGGTTTGGATATTAAATTGTATTTACCCCTTATTCTATTACTCAAACCTTTTTCAATAAATGCAACCAAGCAATCATTCAGAAATTGATCTCCCATTCGGTTCCGAAGATCGTTCTTGATAAACTTCATAGCTGAAAATGCCATTTCACAGCTTGCAGTCGCAACAGGTAAAGTCAACACTAACTTCAACATCAAGTACACCAATGGCCAAGTAGTATCCTTTTCTGTCTCCACCATTCGCCTAGCTAGCTCATCGATTCCTCGCAGTCCCTTGAAGGTCTCATCTTTATATGGACAAAAGACAAAACCATATGATTATTACCTGATATGGGGTATTACTGTACCAAGCTATGGACAGGATACAGATGCAGAGCTTGGAGTCTGGAGGAGGCAAGGGCCGGCTTTGTAGTTTGATTTGCAATTATATTACTTTGTCGGCGGTGTGAGAAGAGAAAGGAAGAGGGATTGTCTTGTAATCGAGATAGGTATAGGGTTTCTTTTACAAGGATATTAGTTCTATTCCAATCAAAATTGGGATTGGGTGGGGGATTCAAAAAACTTTCCGTATAAGGAAATTATTTACACATTAATAAACTTTCCGTATACAATAAGTTCTTTAGCAAAGTTATAACAATAATATGTTGGTAGACTAATGGAATGATAATGAGTCCACTATAGAGCTGTGTCAAGAGGTCTTGTGTTTGAATTTTGGCATCGATGAACCTTACTTTTTTATCAAAATTTTTTTTGGAGGTGTGTCAATTGACACACCACCCTATAACATAGGTCCGCCCCTGTATATGGTGGTTACTTCGGTGCACTCACTTTTTTGGGTGCATT